ATCTATCTATCTATCTATCTATCTATCTATCTATCTATCTATCTATCGCCTGCGAAACCATTCCGCCCTCAGCTGGCCACAATTGATAACTGTATTCTTACTCTCAAGTCATTAGAAAATATCTATTTCCGGTTTTTCCTTTCCAATCAAAAACGTACAGTGGAAAATATTATTTTATGCATGAAAATTGTAGATATGACATTAATACATATTAATTGATAACCAGTAATGGACGTAACAGATAGACGGTTCACATGTCTGCTACGTCTGCATACACATCTTATATTAAATGTATATTACCTTATTTTTATGTACCAATAAAAGTACACAATTTTTACATTATCACTTTATGCAATTGTAAATTTTATAGTTTCTACGTTTAATTTTACATTGTTGCATATTTTCAGTGTTTATCTATGTGCTTTCATTTATTACACTTGGTAATTTTCCCCGTGAGGAGAAATTTGAAAATTGTTCGACACAAAGCAGTCCAGCTAAATTGGTGGCTATTTCAAGAGCTCGAAAGAAATTTGAAAATATTCCTATTTCATGACAACAATTATCACAAAAGTTAAAAAAGAGATGGAGAGAGAGAGAAATTCTGCTGCCACACCTTTGTTTTGACAGATTCCGGTGACATTCACACTTCCGGTTTCAGGTATCACAGCACTTGAAGGACAGTTCCGATCACTTGTTCTGAGGAGCTTTAGGGTTGTTTTCAGTATTTGTCATCAATAAAGGTGGGTATCTTCTCATTTTGCTCCGTTAAACTTGTTTTTCCTACCTCATTACTGGCTGAATTACCTATTATCTTATCAAATTGCACGTAGTTCGGCAGCAACAAGGTGCCATGCTAGTTAGCAACATGCTAATGCCAAATTTGCTAACAGATTAAGTGAGTAAGAACTGGGAGGGGGGATGGGTGGTCTTGATTAGGAGTTGTAGTTTAATCCTAGAGTCAGTGGTTAATTACAGATATGTTAGCCTCTAAGAATATGAACATACAAATGTGTTGCGGAAAAACGTTCTTAGTTGGTTTAGCTGGTTAGCACGCGCACCGTAACGTTCAGGTTCTGCGACAAACGGTTGAACCTGTGACAAGTTTGGCCATCGTGGCACGTGAGTAACTTTTCACGGTCTTTTAAAAATATTTTTACGTGGATTAAGATCCACTGCCTTTACCTAAATATCATATATGTCATATTGTGGCTTTCTGCTCAGCATGGCTCGTTATTTCCTCAGTAAACCGAGGTCCGTAGGGGTCTGTGACACTTTTTAAAAAACAGTCGAAGAACCAGTGATTTACTAAAAACTAACATGGTTAATATTTAATTACTTCAAACTGTATGTTTTAAGTGTAAAGTGGCTGAAAAGATTTAGCAGAATGACTACTTTGAGATGGCTTCTAATTTTGTGGATTTTAATTGTAGATGAACCCAAAATCACGTCCAGTTGCATGCAGCTGTGGACAGGGGTGTCTCCAGGTTTAAAGGGTTAGACTCCTGGATCGAGTCAGCCAGTAGGCTGGTCAAAACCAGCTAAAAACAACATATCACTTCAATAAAAACATTATTCTGGTCATTTAAACTCCTCTAACCGACCCGTTTCTGCCACAAAAGTGAAAAAACTTTAAAACTAGTCGTGCCAGCAGATGATAAAGAAGCTCTGTAAATGGAGAAATAGCCATGTGCTTCTTAGAAAAAAGTACATGTTAACACTGAAGTAGTACAGCTTTCTTAGTATTATATAAGATAATAGATGATTTTAATAAAGTTCTGATCCTAAAATGGACTAATTGAGCTCACAAACATCCATATTTAACTAGTGTGTGCTGCGGGTCCTTTCTGATCCCAATTCTTTTTTCATTTTTAGGATGAACTTTTACAGAATTCCTTGTAATTCTTAGCAAACATGTCCCTTTGCATCCATTATATATACTTTTTTGGTGTTGTATGAATATTTGTACCACCTGTTGGTCATCCAGGACTCAAACAGTCCCTCGTGGAGCATAATGTTGGCAGTATCCTCATTTCTGGCAAAGTAAACACAGTAAACTCACTCAACTTCAATGATTTTTACAATGAACAAAAGTCTTTCCACTCATAACTGAGGTGGGATTTCTTGAGTCAAATAGGGGATTAATCCCATGGGTCGGGTGTATCGTGTTCCTGTAAATGCTGCGTTTGATGTTTTGTCCACCCTTATTTACCCGTTCGTCCCTCTGTTGCTTTAACGCAGGCGCCATCATGCGAAGTGTGCGTCTGCTGCTGATCCCCGTGCTGCTGCTCCTCCTGGCCCTGCCCGCGTCCAGAGGACGTTACAATGACGACTTTGACGACGGGGAGGACCTGGCAGACTTTGATGACAATGACTTTGCCGAGTTCGAGGACATGAACGACGACTTGACGGCGGAGGCAGAAACGGCCCCCCCGCCACGCGCCTCTCCGTCGTCACAGCATGAAGAGGACGAAGATGAAGACGAGGCCACGGTGGAGCTGGAGGACGGTCAGGACGGATTTGAGGACTCGGAGACACAAGTACATAACCTTTTCCCTTTTTCTGTTTGTCATTCACTCTATATTTTAGGACATTTAAATGCCACATTGAGATTTCACTGTTATGTATTTAAATTGATTTTTTCTCTCAAAAAAAATAATATAGACTCCATACAATATCTTTTTTTCAAGGATCAAGACATGTACAGTAAATTTGACCAGGAGGAGTTTGAGGGTGTTGGAGACATGGAGAAGACAGGTCACTCCATGAAGGACCCCCTTATAATCCACACGGTAAACCTCTTATGTGTCAAATCTCTGAATTAGTTTTATGTGTTCACTCTTAGTGACTGAAACCCGAATGTGCAGACAAGTCAGGTCAGCTGCACAAATGTTTCTTGTTAATTTTGTCCCTTTTCACACTGCCATCACTCTGCTGCTGGGTGTTTCTGCTGGAGTTTCGCTCCTCAAAAAGCTCCTGTCAGCAAACGTGGAGCTTTGTGTTGGCAGCTGAAAGGCGTCGTTTTTAAAAACAAAACCTTTGACACTGACTGACGCTTCAGGATTCGGATTTCCTCAAAAATGCTGGTCAAAATATCGAATGATCTTGTTTGCTCTCCACAGGTTCCAGCACATCTCCAAAACAGCTGGGAGAGCTACTACATGGAGATCCTGATGGTGACCGGCCTGTTGGCCTACATCATGAACTACATCATTGGCAAGAACAAAAACAGCCGGCTGGCCCAGGCCTGGTTCAACTCCCACAGGGAGCTCCTGGAGAGCAACTTTGCACTAGTGGGTGAGTTCCGCCATGTGTTTGTGGTGATCTCAGTTTGCGTGGTGAATTAATGACACACGTCGGCATCAGTCAGTCAGTCTGTGTTTGTGATCGTCTGTGAACGGTTTGTGTAGGTGATGATGGCACCAGTAAAGAACCAGTGAGCACCGGGAAGCTGAATCAGGAAAACGAGCACATCTACAACCTGTGGTGCTCCGGACGCGTGTGCTGCGAGGGCATGCTGATTCAACTCAAGGTAAGGAATAAGTGAGTTTCCTCGCATCGCAGCTTCTCTTTTGAATCTCTAATCTTTTTTGTTTTGATCTCTCTCAGTTTCTGAAGAGGCAAGACCTGCTCAACGTTCTGGCCAGGATGATGAGGCCCGCCTGTGACCAAGTGGTACGACAGCATCCCGATGCAAATTTAGAGGAAGTCCTTTGAATTCCACACATCTAGAGATAGTGCCTCAGATTTGTCTCACCACCAGCCTCTCTTTGCCTGCTCGTAGCAAATCAAAGTGACTCTGAATGATGAGGACATGGATACTTTTGTGTTTGCCGTGGGTACTAAGAAGGCCATGGCCCGGCTGCAGAAGGAGATGCAGGACTTGGTGAATATCCTCCCCTGGTTTGAGTTGTTTTTTTGTTTTGTTTTTTATTCCCTCTCATAGTATTCCTTCCTCTTTTTCTGCTAATCATTCATTCATTCAGAGTGAGTTCTGTGGGGACAAGCCAAAGTCCGGGGCTAAGTACGGGCTCCCGGACTCCCTGGCCATTCTCAGCGAGATGGGCGAGGTCACAGATGGCGTGATGGACAACAAGGTGAAGTCTGCCATTTTAGATCACAGTTAGGAGGATTTCTGGCGGTTCTGCATGGTAAAAAATAGCTTCTTTTTTTTTTACAATGCATCTCTATTCAAACCTAGCTTTTCGGCACATTTTTCCTTTTAGATGGTGCATTATGTCACAAACCATGCTGACAAGATCGAGTCCATCCATTTTTCAGACCAATTTTCTGGTCCAAAAGTTATGCAAGAGTAAGTATTTCCTTAACCTTCATGCCTCTTATATATATTTTGATAAAGTCTGTCTGGAGGGGATGCTAACAGTTTCTATGTTTTCTCTCAGAGAAGGTCAGCCACTAAAGCTGCCTGAGACCAAGAAGACACTACTGTTTACATTTAATGGTGAGATCAGTCAGTATTAGTTTCAGACTGTCCTACAAGCCATGAGCATTTCATTCCACTGACATTTTGCTGCATGTTTTTGCTCAAAGTGCCTGGCATGGGCAACACGTCTCCCAAAGACATGGACTCTCTGCTCCCTCTCATGAACATGGTGATATACAGCCTGGATAAAATCAAGAAGCTCCGACTCAACAGAGAGGTAATCCAGTTCTGTTCCTCTCTACCATAGCAGGATTTCAGTGTTATGGATTTAATTTCTAAATCCTTTCCTCTGGTATATTTAGGGCAAACAGAAGGCGGACAGAAACCGGTCCCGCGTGGAGGAGAACTTCCTGAAGCAGACTCACGCTCAGCGCCAGGAGGCAGCCCAAACCCGGCGGGAGGAGAAGAAGAGAGCCGAGAAGGAGAGGATCATGAACGAGGAGGACCCCGAGAGGCAGCGTCGTTTGGAGGTCTTCAATTAAAAAATATCGCCTTAAAAAGAATCAATACATGAAGTTTTCCCACTGAAATAAGTTGATCTGTTATCCTGAAAAAGTTGGGATCGTTCTTCCTAAATAGATCTTTTCTTATTTTTTTCTTATTTCAGGAAGCAGCTCAGCGGCGTGAGCAGAAGAAGATCGAGAAAAAGCAGATGAAGATGAAGCAGATCAAAGTGAAAGCCATGTGAAAGGTCCCCGCAGATAACGAGCACACGACCACCACGCTCAGCACGTCCACAGCTCTCATTCACGGCCACCCAACAGCCGCAGAGCCTCCCGCCTGGCCTCCGGCCGCCACCCACTCTCCGATGAGCCATCAGCGTGGCAGATCTGCTTTAGATCCACGCCAGAATTTTTCTGTAAAATTTGATTTCAAAGTCAGAAAGCTCCCAGAGCTTTTTAAATGTGATCGCTGGGAAGGAGCACACCACACCGAGGTGGTGCGTCCCATTCTTTTAAAGGACAGACACCATTTCCACGCCATTGGAAATTTATTTAGCATTAATATAATCTCTAAATGATAATGTTGAGGAAATTTTTAATTTATATGTTCTATGAAATCTGTCTCCTGCAGGCTGTTTCTAATTCATATGTGAGTGAATAATAAAGTGCACTGGATTCTGCTGGGAAACTGTCTTTAATTTAGTTTTGAAGAACAAATGGAATCATTTCTTATCAGTGGTTTGAAACGGCAGCACTTGGGAAACGATCCAGACCTCTCCGTGTCAGCGGGGCAGAGTTTAAAACGGGACCCAGAAAAGTTGAGACGCGAGGCTAAATTTAACTGGAGGTGGTGTCAGCAGAGTCTGGGCCGGATCCCGTTTCAGCAGCGTGGTTCTCTGTGGCCACGCGGCCCCACGCGACCTGGAAAATCTTTACGGTGCAAAACTGCAAATAGTAAAAGTTGAAACTTTCCCCTGACATGCAAAGAGAATACTGATGAAAACAGGCTAAGATGAGCTACTGCTAAAGCTTTGTTCTGCTCAGCCAACTATTAGTTTTGGAAACACCGGTTATGTCCGCCAGACTGAGAAAAGCACTTCTCTTTCCGTTTCTTTCAGCAGTAAATTATTAAATGACCATATTGTTTTTTTCTAAAGCTGTGCCAGCTGTGGCTTGTTATGAACGATGTGTGGTAAACTGACCCAACTTTGAGGAGCCACAGTCACTGCCCTATTAAATTCAGAGAAGTTGATTTGTCCTTTAAATTGATCTTCAATCTGCATCTATTTTTATTCAGTTTTATTTATTGCATTGGTATATTTGATTTATTTCTGTGTCAGGTTTTGATTTGTTTTCATCCTATACATTTTATTTAGCATAATTTTGGGAAATATACATTAATATACTCTAAAAGTATTCAAGAAATGCGAACAATTAAAGGCAGGTAACTTTTGTTTGATTTATTTTCTGTTATTTGTTAAATATATCAGATTCAGATTCAAGCAGACTTTCAGTTTTTATCCGCACACTGAGCAAAATGCCCATTGATCTAGATCAATTACCCTGAGCCAAATAAAGAAGCTTTATATTTTTTCAACCCATTGTCAGATTGATTCACATTGAAATGGAAAATCTACAAAAGTGGGTTTGTTGCCTAAATCTTTCATTGTCTTTTTTCACCTCACCTTAGGGAACAAAACAGTAAAACAAAAGGCTCATCTTCCCCATATCTGTAAGAAATGAAAGAACACATTTACAAAAATTAAGTTATTAAATGTTTCCAGGTATAGTTTTTTTGTAGGGCAGAGTTATTTTTTTTTTGGTTGCTGTGAACTGATATTTTTAAAAAGGCTGTTGGAGACCCCTCAGACATCCACAGAGCTATTTAATAACTTTTTTAAATCAGTCAAATCCATTTTGGAACCACTTTGCTGCGAGTGTAGTCTGATAATAAATCCTGGTTTCATTGGCCTCATTATCTTCAGTTACTGTTGATGCTTTTTAAATTGTGTGCTCAACCATATGAGGATTTATTTTTGTCAGTCAGCACTTCAGGACTTGGCAGAGTAATGAGGGCTAAAACCTGAGTGAGCCACACAACGAAACAGCACACAGCTCAAAATGTGGAGGTTCATGCCTGTTTAATGATCTAATGCATAAAGGTGGATAAAGGACGGCAGCAACGGCCATAAAATACAACACACAAATAAAATAAAATAATCAAGATAGAACTGAACTTTTGGCCTTCGACATTGTATTCCCACACTTTTGTATCAGGTTGTGTATCTACTGCTTTAGACACAAAGTGATATTAGATATATTGCTAAGAGCCTTTCCCATCCCTGTTCCTCAAGGCACACTGCCCTGTAAGTCTTCCAAGTTTTCCTGCTCCTGCACACCCGTTTCAAGTAAATGTGAGATTTTTTCTGCTCTTTAAGCTCTGCAGAAGTTTGTTGAAGCCCAGTTCATTAAAGTCAGTTTAAGGTGTCAAAACTACAAACAATTAAAAAGTCACTGTACAATGAATATTTATTTTTGATTAAATAAAAAACATGTGATGAACTATAAATTTAAAATATAGCTGGTAAAAGAAATTATCAATAAAAAACTACTCCTTCACATTTGATATGGCCCCGTTATTTCTTCGGGTGGAGGAGTAACTCTCTGACCGGCCTCTAGGGGGCGCTTTGGCCAGATTTCCTGACTTGGTGCGGCAGCAGCAGATTCCAGCATATTTGAAACGTAGACAATTACGATTTTAGATAAACCACAAATATTCTAACTTTTATCATATTTTTTCTTATTTTTTATTTAGGGTGCTCGTGTCTCATATTATAGCTCTTGTCTATTTTTTCTGGTTCCCTAGTGGGAGAAAGTGCTGGTCCGTAACCGAAGGCTGCATTAGCATACACTGATGGAGAACAGGCGAGGCTTTCAGGTTGGTTACGCGATGGCCGCTCTCTCAACAATATCTGGATTTTAAAAGGCAAAACAATGGCTTCGTCGCTCGAACAAGCGTGTCGATACATTATCTGACTATCGGAATGGTAGTAGTTTCATTTTAGCCCGCCAGATCTGGTCTAGGATCAGGTCTAAGGTGTATCGTTTCGGTTAGGGACCCAGTGTTTTTCTTGTTCGCGCAGGGCCTGACTATAGCGGCGGTTTGCTACTTTCGGATGAGCGGGCAGTGGGTCTCCAAGAGCTAGGGTGTGAATGTCGGCATAGCAAGGACAAAACTTTCCAATTGAGCGTCCTAACGTAGCGCGTAACGCGAATGTTTCTGGTAAAAACTGATGCATAGAGTCAGGGGCTCGTTGAGATCAGTTTTAACCACAAACTTGTTCTTAGCTAGTTAGCTTTAGCCGAAGGTAGCATCAACTTGCCCTAGCTAAATCGAGGAGGGACAGCGAATATACCTTCGATTAACGTTATTTAATTAGGAAGCAACTCACGGCGGTGTTTTCAAGGAAAACTCCGGAACGTGCACCGGTCACGTTTGACGGTAGATTTTTGTTGACGGATATGAGCAGCTTGTTTGCATTTTGTTGTTGCACATTAGCATTGGCTAACTGTCGGTTGCTAGCCGAACTATCTATTCAGTGACGTAACGCCGGGCATTGTTTTGACAGCACGCAGCAGCTTAACCAATGCATAGCACATCCATTTAGCCTTGCAAAAATTAACGATTTATTTCCCTCTATCTTGAAATGTATCAATACTTCAGGGTGCTCTAAACAGTGAGCCTCTGGCTAAATGATGTGACGCAGCTTGCCGCTCCGTTACGTTTCCATTCAGTTTGCCTACCGCCAGCTGAGCAGGGTACTTCATTTGTTATTACCGCATGCTTTCATTTTGCCTCCCTTTCAAACGACTTATTAATTGCTACATATCCTTTCCAAGTTATTTGGTTGTGTTTGATGTCTGAAAGTGTGTGGCTAACGGTGGGTACGGTTGGCTTTGTCCTGCCCAGTTGTAGGATGGATCCAGACAGTGGGGCAGAAACACAAAAGGCTGTCAGTTTGCAGTGGAAAAGCTACAAGCTCGTCCAGGACCCTGCCATCAGGCGGGTCACGCAGAAAATCTACAGATATGACGGAGTGCATTTCAGCGTGCCAGTGAGTTCTGTTTGAATGCACAGATTGAATCAGTGTCTTCCCACTGCTGCTTCTTCAGTTTACGACTTCTTTATTATTTCCCAGGATTCGGGATTTCCTCCCGTCGGAGACCTGCGGGATCCTCGACCCCGCAGGCTGTGGTCCAGGTATACAGAACTGTCCCTGCCAGTGCCGAAGTTTAAGGTGAGCAGATGTATTTTAGGAGTTTGGAACCAGAAAAAACTTTTACAGAATGTATTGGCTTTGCCCACTTTTCACATATTTATCGAATAAACCTGAAATCATATTTTGTCAGTGAGACAGTTGTCCTTCATCCATCCCAATACTACCATAATGATTACAAAAAAATAAATTCATTCTTTACAAATATACTTTCAGTAGAACTTTATTGGAGAGATGCAGATACATATTGAAAATATTTGAGAAAATGGCATGTGGTCAGTGGTCCCAAATTATGGAGCCCAAAAAAAGCTAAGGGCTGTAGCTTGCGAAATGAATAGAAAACAGGCATATGGGAGGCTTTAGTTCTGATTTAATTTTTGTGTTTTTGTTTTTTTACCGAAGCTCGATGAGTTCTACGTCGGTCCCATCCCACTCAAGGAGGTGACCTTTGCAAGACTCAATGACAACATCAAGGAGCCCTTCTTGGCCGAAATGTGCGCCAAGTTTGGTGAGGTGGAGGAAATGGAGATCCTGTTTCACCCCAAGACCAGGAAGCACTTGGGCCTGGCCCGGGTGTTGTTCACCAGCACCAGAGGAGCCAAAGACACGGTCAAGCATCTGCACAACACCTCCGTTATGGGAAACATCATTCATGCTCAGCTGGATATAAAAGGTGAACTAAAACAGCTCCTCTGAGAAATTGTTGGTCTGTGAAGGGTTTGATACGAGTTCTTAATGGCATATAATCATAGTTCAGAGGTCATGACCTAAATGTGTTTGTATGTGGTTTGTTTGTTCCGCCCTTTGCAGGTCAACAGAGGCAGAAGTACTATGATCTGATAGTAAATGGGTCCTACACTCCTCAGACGGTGCCCCTGGGAGGCAAAGCTTTGACGGACAGGGTTCAGGCTCAAGCCCCAACTCAGCCTCAGCCACAGCCTGACACGGTATTATGGGGGGTTGATTGTCTTTGCGGCGGTCTTATAATAAAATGTTTAAGGATGAGCGCTCGGACACATTCAAATTTCAATCAATGTTTTGGAGAAAGGTCTCTTAGCCATCAAACTGGTTTCAGGGCAGCGTGGACTAATTGCTGGCCTTAAAATTTAGGTTTACTTTTGCCAACAGGAACGTATGATGTCCTTGTGACCGAAAAGTACAGTCTTAGAAATGATGTACTTAACAAAATGAACAGACAAATGCAGCAGGTTAATTTAGCTTTTATCTGCCAAATTCATATTGCTATGCGTATTGAGATGTACTTGAAAAGCAAATCTCAGTCCACAGCAGGTATCTCAGTATTCTGTATGAAAATGACCTGATGAAGAATGCCTACATGCACTTTGTGGCTGGTATAAGTTATTGTCAGCTGTCCGGCTGTCAAACCAAGTTAGCTATGGTCTGAGCATTTATATTATTATGACTTGTAAAACAAAGTGATTTGTGTTGTATCAAAAGCTTTCAAGACTTACACCTGCTTAGTTTTCCAAATTCATCTAAAAAAAGAAAAACAACCAAAAAACGCCTGTCCCTGCAGCCAACGGAAATGAGGCGGAGGATTTCCAGCGAACTTGCAGTTCTGGCCGCCGGGGTCCAGGGCATGACGTCCGGGGGCGCCACGCCGGGTTCTACCGACACCGGCTACAGCGATCAGCGTTTAGACACCCCCCCGCCGTCCATGACCGGCCCGTTCACCCCAGGCTCCTCTGCCTCGTCTCAGGCTGGTGGAGGAACGCCTTACAGCTCCAGGTCTGGAACCCCTTTCTCTCAAGACTCAGGCTACACCAGCACCAGGCGAGTTGAATATCTTATAGCATCGATATGGCAGCGTGTTGTGACATCAGGCATCAGATTCTGTGTTGTAGATTTAGGGGATGGAGACTCATGTCTGTACACGGTAATTAACAGAATGATATTCGGACCAAATAATCTCTGATCGGTGTGATCTGTGTTGCAGGCACACTGGCTATAATACTGGCTCTTTGGGCAGTGGCTACCCTCCCCAGGACATGCTACCCTCATCATCCTCATCTTCTGCAGTCTCGTCTACTGTGGGGAGCTACAAAGTGTCTCGCTACCCTGACGATGCGCAGGAGTACCACCGCGGCCGCCCCGTGTACCCTCCAACTGGACCATACCGTCCCAACGAGCCGCCCTGCTACCCGCCCTACTCCAATGTTGGAGGACCCGGGCTACACATGCCGCATCACTCCTCAATGCCTCCGCCTCCCATTTCAAATCAGTACGACCAGGCCCCGATGTTGGAGCGGGAGAGGGAGCGGGACAGAGACTCAGGAGGTCGATACGGAGCGGGCGCGATTGGCTCCAGGAGGTCGTCTTACCATCACCAGCAGGACACAAACTCTTCCTCAAAGTACCATTCCCATCATTCCCACCACCACTCGGAGCGCCGGGAGGAAAGGGGGTACCGGCGAGACAGCCTGGGCTCCCGGTCCGTCGACCACGGCCACCAGAGACACCGCAACCACCACCACTCTCACAACCACCACGGCAGCAGCAGCCGCAGGAGGAGCAGCCACGACCGGGACCGAGACCGGGACCGGGACCGGGACAGCGACTACTCCAACAGCTCGGACCCCAGATACAACTCCAACTCCTACCGCTCCTCCTCCAACAGCCAGTCTCCTCCCCCGTCGTCCTACTCGGCCTACTCCTCCTCCTCCTCCTCCAAAGAGGCTGCCGCCGCCCCCCCCCAGGGGCCGGCGGACGCGTCCAGCCGTCCAGGGAGCGCCGGCCTCACAGAGAGGGCTCCCCTGCCCTCCGCCGGTGCTGACAAAGAGTACCACGCCGCTCACCACAGTACTCTGCCCCCGCCTCCCCCCCCTCCGCCGCCCCTCCCCCCGGCCTCCGTTATCGCAGCGGCTGTAGCCGAGACTCTCGGGACGCTGGACTTCAACCACGACAGTCCCGTCTGTGAGGACCAGTGGAAGCCCAAACGCCGTCCCAGCACTCCCCCCGCCCCCCCCAAGACGCCGCCGCCACCATCCTCTCCCGCCCACCCCTCCGCGGCCTCCTCCTCCAACTCCCCTTCTTCAGCCTCCCTCCCTCTCCATCTTTCCTCCTCCTCCAGCTCGCCGCCCCCCCCTCATCGGGACTCCTCCTCCCCAGAGCCGGATTCCACCAATGAGAGTTTGCCGTTCGTGTATCACAGCAGCAGCCTGGACTCTCGCATTGAGATGCTCCTGAAAGAACAGAAGGCTAAGTTTTCTTTCCTGGCCTCCGACGAGGAAGAGGAGGACAATGGGAAAGAGGACAAGCCGCGGGGCCGAGGCGGGGATGGCGCCGAGCGGCGGGGTCGGGCGGGCGACGGCGGCGGGGAGCAGCAGCACGCGGGGGACGGCGGGGAGAAGGAGCATAGGAAGAAAGGGGAGAGGGACAGAGACGGCCACCGAGGAAGGAAACGGGGAAAAGGGGGAGACAGCAGGAAGAGTCCGACGGTGCCAAAAGCAGCCCCCCTGCCCTCCGCCACGTACCCTCCCCACGTCCCGCCCCCAGAGGAGCCCCAGGCCCCGGTCAGCCTGCCTGTGGCCGGAGCTCCACAGGAGGAGGGCTCTCAGGCTGCTGCGGCCAATGCGGGGAGCAGGACGGGGGCGCACACGCCTCCTTTTAACGGGCAGAGTCAGGTATGGTCAGACTTTTTCTAAATGTAAATCGTCTGGAGTTCTCCTGGAAAAGCCAATAACGCTAATCAGCATTCATGTTGAAAGTTTATTCACAATCAGATATACAGACGGACCCCAGATCGAAACTAAAATGAACTCGGCGGACAAAATGACAAAACTACTCTTTAGCTGTGCATAGGATTTTGTCCTCCAGATGAAGAAAAAGTCCCCACGCTTAAGCTTAAATCTTTAATGCTTCACTGATTGGAAAATAATAAGTCCATTACAGTGCAGAAAAATGTCAGCATGTAAAATTTTGCTGACAGACTTCTACTGGAGCGCCCGTCCTCGGATAGTTTGTGCTCTTTACAAACAAATGTAAACTCTTTTTGATGAGTATGGGACCAGTTTCTACATTATATTAATTTGCCATGTATTCAGATTGGTTTTAAGATTGACCGATTCAACATCTTCTAATCACAAACACTTAAAACTGTGTTGAAAGGAATAGCATCTAAATCCTGAACAGCAAGTTACAGTAAGTAACCGCTGGAAGGTTTTAAAACCACATATTTACGTGTCAGATAAGCATGCTGATATATGTAGTTATGGCTCCCTTGACATTCCCCACCATTTGTTCTTTTATGGACAAAAAAGTTTAAATATAGACATGTGTGATGTGGGCTCATGTGTTTTTATAAGAGTGGCATTAGATTAGGATATCTGGCCCAGTTGGCCCAGTGTCTGATTAAGTTCTGCTTTCTCTCAGGCCTCCCCTCACTCTTCTGGGGAAGACATGGAGATCTCAGATGAGGAGGAGGAGGACACGGCTGCCATAACAACGGTGACCACCCACCAGCCGCCAGTCACCTCAGGATCCTCCCCGTCTACGTCTCAGGCTGCGTTATCACAAACCGCAGACCCCTCGTCTTCACCCCCGCCCATTTCTGACTCTTCACAGCACTTTGGCAACTCCATGCACCCTCCCATACCCTCCTACCCTCCTCATTTGCCCCCTCCCCCTCCCCCCGGCTACTCCCTCCAGCCTCCGCCTCCACCGGGGATTCCCCCCCTTCCCCACATGGAGCTGCACCCCGAATACCCCCCTCCCATGCCCCACCACATGTACGACTACGCCACCTCCATGGAGCTGATGAACCAGTACAGCGGGGGCACCCCCATGTCCTTCCAGATGCAGACCCACATGCTGAGTCGCCTCCACCAGCTGCGCATGTCCTCCTCCAACGGCACCCCCGGCCCGGGGGAGGCCGCCACCGCGGACTACTCCTCCTACCACCTGCACCCGATGCCACCGCCCCACTCGCACCACCCCTACATGGACCAAGAGGGCAGCGGGGCGGGGGCTCATTACGACCAGGACCCCCGCTACATGCCCCCCCACATGTCCTACCCCTACGCCGACCCCCACAGCACCCAGATACCGCCGCACCCTCACCACAACATGCCCCCCCATCACGCTGGCTGGCCGCCGCATGTCCTGCCCCCCCACTACGCGCCCTACCTGCCCCCGCCCGGCTACAGCACCCTGCTGCCCGCGGACGGGGAGGAGTACCGGGCTCCCGGAGAGGAGATGCCCATGCTGGCCGACGGTCCGCACGAGGCCACGGTGCAGATGGTTCTGGCCACCTTGATCCAGGAAATGAAAAACATCATGCAGAGGGACTTGAACCGCAAGATGGTGGAGAATGTAGCCTTTGCCACTTTTGACGAATGGTGGGAGAGGAAAGAGACCAAGGCCAAGGTAGGAAGAGCTACCACAGCACAGCCTCTAGTCTCATCTTTAATCTTTATCTCTGACTAAATTTAAGCCTACTGTCTAATCTGTGGTTGGTCTTAGTTTGTTCCTACAGATTTCTCTGTTATAGTTTGTATTTCTTTAAACCCTGATAAAAGTTAACTGCTTCAGCTTCACTGGAAGATATTTGAATGACCTTTTCCTGTCTTTAGCCGTTCCAGACCATGGTGAGAGGGGTGTCCGCTCTACGGGACGAAGAGAAAAAAGAGGAAAAGGTCAACCGTCCACGGGAGCCTCTCATGTCTCTTGTGGATTGGGCAAAGAGTGGCGGCGTGGAGGGCTTTTCTCTGCGTGGAGCCCTGCGATTGCCCTCCTTCAAGGTAAAGACACAAAACCCCTGAAAGTTTCAACTATCCCTCTCTGTCAAATGGAAAAGATTTAGCCTCTTATTTGAATATGCAGGCTTGGTTTAGCTTTGCATATGTCCTGAATCAGTTTACTGGTTTTAGTCTGCAGTGAAAAACAGTTTGAACGACTTTATTGACTGTTAACTAAACTAAATCTGGGTGTTTCAACGCTAGGTGAAAAGAAAAGAACCTCAGGAGTTTGAAGAGGAGGACATGAAGAGGCCCCGGCCCTCAACTCCACCCGATGAGGATGATGAAGGTTTGTTTCATGGAGGACTTCTAAAGAAGGACTGCCGGATCTCCTCTAACTAATCTCTGGTCTCCAGCTGCAGACGGGAGGCAACCAGAAGCAGACCGGCGTGGAGCTGAGAGGGACAACAAGAGGAGGAAAAAGAAGCCAAGAACTCGTAAACCGTGGGAGCTCGACAGCGAGGGAGAGGAAACCTCTGACGGCTCCTCATCTGAGAAGGCAACCCATTCAGTTTATTTACTTGGAATTTCTTTTAGTCTGCTTTTGTTTTGAGCATCGGCTTGTTGTGTCTGGGGTCGAAGGAGATTTATTACGCCACGTGGCAAAAAAAAAGAAAAGTGAAGAATAATTCAGTTTTAGCTTCATACAATATGATCTTTTATCTCTCCATGAAAGAGGATGAATATTATACTTTGGTGTTCAGTTCCTAAGCGTATGGAAGCTACAATCAGACTTTTCTTGGCTAGATGGCAGTGTTTGACTGTGAGTCATCCGGTGTTGTAGTAACAGTCTTTTTTCCTGCACAGGATGAGGAAGTGGAAAGTGAAAAAGAGTCAGATGGTAAAGCACCACCATTCATCTCATTCAAATATTTTATATTTGCTAGCTGTCAAAGATTTGAGGCAATAATGTGAATTATTATGTGACCTGTTGTTGTAGATGACGCCCTCAGTGCTGACAGTGATGACGAGAGCCTCTCTTCATCCTCCGACGGATCTTCCTCCTCAGCATCCTCATCTTCATCTTCCTCTGAGGATGAAGAGGAAGGGGAGCAAGTGGAGAGTGAAGGGCCAGACTCCTTGGATGACTCAACCATGGACAGCACAACTGAGAAGGAGGATGATGGGTATGAAACACAGAAATGTAACTTTAAAGAGTTCCTGATGTTGCAAAATGGAGATGAAATCGAAATAGTTTTTGATCTCTGAATGCCTGTTTTGTTGTTCACAGGGAGCATAAGGCAGCTGCTCTTTCAAAGGCAGAACTTAAAAAAGGTCAGTGAGACATCCCTTCCTGAATCATTAACAAATTAAACAAACCTTTTGCATGAACGGCAGAGCATCAGAGGAAGTTGTTGAAGTTCACTGAGTCTCAGAAATGTCCCTCTTTGCAGGTCTTACAAAGGACAGCAGGGCAGATCCAGCAGCTTCTACCAAGCACCCTCCATCTCCACAATACCCACGGCCCTCGTCTCCCATTGTTCTTGTACCTCCTCTTAAGAAACGCAGGAAAACGGTCTCATTTTCCACAGATGAGAATGAGGGCAAAACACATGTGCCAGGTGCACATCTGTCTCCATCACAAGCCGCCGGCGAGTCCCTGCTCATCTCTGGCCGGCCTTCAGACTCCCCCATCACTGCGGCACTCTCCCCCACGGGTCGCCCCGGCCAGGGAATCCAGCTCCTCCCCTTCGCCTCCAAACCGGGCGAGGGCAACGCCCTCATCGTTCCTCCCTCCGAGAGAACCCAGGACTCCGAGGAGTCCAAAAAGGGGCCTCTGGCCTCGCCAACGGCCATCCCCGTCAAATCCCCCGGCAAACGGGGCGCAGGCAAGGACTCCCCCAAAGGCGCCGCCCCTCCGGTCATGGTCTGCCGGACAGTCCAGAACCTGCCGCTGGACCACGCCTCCATGTGCAGGATGGCCTTCGAGGAGGCGCCGCCCCCACCGGCCGGCAACAAGCGCTCCAGAGGCAAACCCCGAACGTCCAGCGTGTCCTCTTCCCTCCGGGAGGAGGACGAGGACGAGGAGGACATCGAGCAGAGGCTGAGACTCAGAGAGCAGCTGGGAGCGTCCAGCCTGCTGCAGCTGGCCTCCTCCACCACCACCGACCTGTCCGTGCTGGCTGACGTAGCCTTAAAAATGGACCCCGACGCCGGGGACTCCGAGGAGACGGAGACGTCGGACGAAGCGGAGGAGCAGAAGATGGAGAAAGACCTCTTCTCCCTGGAGTCTCTGGCCCTGGTTATGAGCCCAGGGGGGGTCATAGTCTTCATGGAGCACAACTACTGCAAACCCCCTGTTCTCACAGCACCGTCCACCACCAAAAAGACCTCCTCAAGACAGGACTCATCAGTCTTACTCCCAGCAGACCTCAACTCTATTTCTGGGGTTCTGGAGGCACCAGAGGAGGTCATTGGAGAGGCAGCCCCATCCAGGATGGAGGCAGAGCACCTGTCTGCTGTGGGAGAGCTGTGTGACTCGGACATGAGCCCGCTGGCAGCTATTTCTCCATCACCAAAGAAGAAGAGTCACCTCGGCAAGACTGTAGAACTGGAGCAGGAAAAGAGCAAGAAGAGGAGGAGGAAAGACAAAGAAAACATCGAGCTCCATCACACGAAAAAACAGAAGGAGCAGCCAATCAAGAAGCAGAGAAAACGGAAGCTGGAGGTGCGTGGTTTCCTGCAGTTGGTGGTTAGGAACGATGCGCAGTGCATCACACTCTGCAGCCGCTCACAGCGCCGTCAGACCAGAGGCGTGTGCCCACACCTAACTTTGCATAATAAGGGACACAGATGGTTCACCATTCTTAGTCACGCTGTGCCTGGACGGCCTGCCCAGATAAAGGCCTGACTGGTCTATTTTAGAACAATTCTTTATATAGCATCTCACAAGCAGAAGTTTCAGAATGCTGACGGGGATCAGACCTGCTGATTATTCAGCTTTCTGCTCCAGCTGATTCAGCTCCAGCTGATTCAGCTCCAGCTGTTTCAGCTCATGTGACCGGCTGCTGCACCGTAGTTAGTTCTCACATAAGAAAACTGATGACATTCTTTGTTTTTTTTTCTTTTGTCTTTCTTTTAAAACAACCAAAACATCCACATATATTCCTTCTCCAGGACTCGGAGGAGGATGTGGATGTGGAGGAGCTCGAGTCCGGGGAGCTGTCCAGCACAGACACGGAGGATGAGGCGGTGGAAGAGGTGCGGAAGAGCGAGCGCCTCTTCCTGCAGGAGGCCGGGATGCTGTCATCCCCCCGCTGGGCCAAACCCGTCCCCGCGCCCGAGCTGCCCGCCGTGAAGTACGAGAACCGCAGCGAGTTTGAGCAGATGACCATCCTGTATGACATCTGGAACTCGGGACTGGACGGCGAGGACCTGATGCTGCTGAAGAAAACCTACGAGAAGCTGCTGCAGGACGACCACGGCTCCGACTGGCTCAACGACACCCACTGGGTCAACCACACAAATATCCTTTCTCATGGACCTGTTTTCCCATTAACACCTTCATTTGGTTTCATTTCCAAACGTTGGACATCTTGTATAAGGGGTCGTTTTTCTTACTTACTTGAATCCTAGTTTGTATTTCATCCTGGGTGTTTGGTCCTTAACCTTTAGCTGCACTAACCAATCTGCCAAACCCCCGCCGCAAAAAGAAGAGCGCAGACGGACAGCTGCGAGAGCACGTGACCGGTTGTGCCAGGAGCGAGGGCTACTATGCCATCAGCCGAAAGGAGAAGGACGTCTACTTAGACCTGGACCTGCCCGAGCAGGTGATCCGGGAGGTGGAGAACGTGGACAGCTCGGTAGGTGGAGCGCCTTTAAAAAAAAAAAAAAAAAACGTCTTTCTTTTTTTTCTTTTATTTATTTTTGCTCTCTCCTGTGTAAGCAATCGATCTCTTAAAGTGGTCTGTTCTCTCTTCATTTATTCTACACTAACATCACCTCTCAGGCATCTTACAATGTCTCAGACGGGTGCCAACCTGTCCAGGTCTGTGGTAAATCTTCCAGGTTCTGAGAGGCTGTTCCTTCCTTGTTGCTGTTATTAGCTGTTCCCGAGAGGACAGGGAAAAACCGCTGGGCTAAAATAGGAAACCACTTCAAAGTTCCTGCATCGAGACTGCAGTGACACGTACCTTCCTCGTGTTGCCTCCCCCTCGCTAACTGAAGTCACCTCACAGATTCTGGGGAAAAATATGCACATAGCAGCAGCTGCATCCTGGACACTGTAACAGGGCGCCTGTTGTTGGACTATTCTTGGAATTCTGTGGAGCTTCATAGATTGCCTGCATAGTTTGTTTTTTTAGTATTTGGCAGAGCTGTAGCTACCAGGTTGTGCATAACCGCTGGTACATAGAAAGAGGGCTGGGGAAACACTCCGGGTTGGTGTTCGTGTGCAGATGACCCAAGTGTTTTATGGAAAGTGTGAGAGAAAATCTCAGTGTGGTTCCAGATGACTTCATGGGGGACGTTTTTCCATCTTTCGGGCCTGACCCGGCCCCCCGTGGAGCCGACATGGGGTTACTGAGGATGGTTGTTATGAAAAGGGAATTTAATAAGTTTAAGACCCCCTGAATTTTCCTGGCAGATTCATATGTGAGGTTTGTTTACCCCACAGCATTTGGCGCAGGCTTATAATTTCATTATCACCACAGCCCTGAGTGACACGTTTACTGTTGATCATGGATAGCTCAAACCCCAAAGCGCATTTCAAAATGATCTCTGTAACAGATGAATACAAACCTTTCTCTAGAATACGGATCACTCTGCCTCTGCATGTCCTCCCCAAACCTGCTCTCCGATAACTTTCTCTGGCTCTGAAAAGTCCTCCTCTGCTGTGTTTTCACTGCAACATTCTCTCAGTTTATGACAAACAGAAACATGTCCACAAGGACGTCTCCCATTGTCTGTGATATATTAAACAAAAACTCATCCTGATGTATTGGCATATTTGTCATTGTCCTGGACTATTTCAGCTTTTAGTAAAGTTTTAGTCCTCTCGAATGCAAAATGTTTCAGGGTTTTCCGTCTCGCCCGGGTCTGGTTTCCAGCCCCTATCATTTGACAGAGAGATTAGTTAACCCTTGTCTCCTCCTTTCCGACTCTTTGTGGTTTTTCTGCTGTTTCGGGATCATCGTCATGTCTCTGAGGGGTGAGGAGGGATGACATCATTACTTTGGAAGAGACTGAGGAGTTTTTGCAGAAACACCTTCATGAAACCTGAGCTGTTTTTTTTTGTTTTTTTTCTCCACATTAGGTAAAGCTCTGATTTTCTGGCAGACTTGACTTGTGGTAATGTTTTTGCCTTTTATGCAGCTTTGTGCTGAAGCTCTCCATATTTTGGGATTCTTTAATGAAACTCCTCCGGTGGAGGCCACACTTGGAGTGTTTTCCTGACAGGAGGCGAGGTCTAGGGAGGAAACCTTCAGGGTTTGCGGCCCGGCAGAGGAATGTGTTTTTATTATCGTCACACTTGGTCTGTGAAGAGAACAGCAGACCTGAGCCGGTCCAGTTCAGAAAAAGCAATCCATTTACTTTTTGCTCTTTTTTTTTTATGATCCCTAAAACTCTATTTTTATTCCACCCACAAAAATCTGTTGCTTTGACTGTTTTTTCTGATCCTGAAGTTGTCCTAAGGGTTTTTGTCCTCATGAGTCAGAACTTCCTCTTTTCTGCCCGTCAGTTTTTCCCTTTTTGCGTCACTTTATGTGACTAACGGGTTTCAAGGCACAGTGATGTGTATGATGGCATCAGAGCTCGACCTCTGTGAGCAGTTACCCACATCGTTGTTTGGGAACCGCCATTTACGAGCACCGGAAACCTGGCTGGTTGATCTGAGTTGCTAGGTAACGTGATGCGTTTTCCAGGTTACTAGTCAGGATGACTCCCTTTCACCTGAGGGCGGTGTGGACCTATCCCTTCTGTTTCTGTTTCGGCTTTTGTTTTGATGAGGGCTCGCTCTGGAGACGCACGCTTCTCTCTGTTTGAGTCTCCTCGTTACTTTATTATTGTAATTCTCTCAGGATGTGAAACTGTGTGAGGCACCTGGTTTGATACCCGATCAAAGCAGCTTTGAAGTCACTGCTCTGGCTCTGCCCCCCCCCCCCCCAACTCAAACACTGCAGACTCTGCTGTTCTTCTGCTGTTTTCTAAAAGACCCACAGCTCCGCCATGCTTTATTTAAATCCCAGGTGTTATGGTGCCCCCAACGTCGTGATCCCGGGTTAAAGGGCAGTAGTCTCACCCCCCGTTCAGGTTAATAATGAAACTGTTTGCTGTTAATTTTTAATGCTGTTGACTTCATGTTTTATTGACCCTAAAGAAAGCTGATCTCAGCTTGTGGTGCTTTCTTTAGAGGATTAATTTGTCTTCTAAGGATCAGGTCGGTAGGGAGAGAACGAATGGAAGCCCCGTGGGGGAAATTCAGTTTATCTTGCAGGTCTAAATTCAAATATATACAATGATGTCAATGAAATTAGATAAAAAATGAATTACTTTGCTAATAATAAAAACTCTGCGGGTGCCTTAGGTGGGACCTCTTAAGGCACAGAGCCTTAAGACAGAGCTGTCGTTTTGTCCTTGACGAGCTGATAAGATTATCCTGATAATGGTTGTTAAAAGTCACCCTGCTGATAAAGAGCTGCTTCCACTCTGACTGTTACAGTTTATGGGCTCTTTAGATTTTTTAGGGGGGCTGATTTAAAAGTGCCGGTGGCTTCTTGGTGCTTCATAATGACATGGAGGCTTTTTTTTTTTTTTTAAGGCAGGAGAAGTTGAGCTAAAATGGAAACTTGCCTCTTGCACACATTCTTTTCCTGCCTGTTTTTTCGACCGATGTGTTTCCAGATGAACTTCGCCCACTCTCATTACAAAAGCAGGTCAATGTGCAGCTCTGCGTCGGCTTTCCTGCAGCTCAAGGCCATGAGAACAGTGGAAGATGCACTTTATACAGATCCCTCCTGTGTTTTTCTTCCAGGGCGTCAACCGGGTGCTTTCAGAGCGGCGTTCAGAGCAGCGCCGCCTCCTCACCGTCATCGGGACGACGGCCGTCATGGACTCTGACCTGCTTAAGCTCAACCAGCTTAAGGTACAGCCGGACACACGCGCAGGCCTCTGCCCGCCAGGACAGCGTCTGTCCCTGTTTACCGCTCTTGGAGCTCTAATACGATGCTTTTAAGGAGGTTAAACAAATCCTGATTCCCCTGAAAGCACCTGCAGTTTATGTTCTGGAGAATTTCATGAGCCGGCCGCCGCTGTTTACCGGAACCGTAAAACGCCATCTGTTAAACGTGGTGTCTGAAGAAGAGATGTCCAGATCCAGCTTTTTTTTTGTTCCCATCCAATACCGGCCTATCAGAGCATGTATTAAAGTTTAAAGTTATTTAGCTTTCTTACTTAGTTGTAAGACTCATGTTGAACAGGGATTTACTCTGATAACAACTCAATGGTTGGGACACAGACCTGTTGGTTAGGAGATGCTAATGCTAATACTCGCGTGGGATCAGACTTAAAAATTGCCATTGTCTTTAACTCCCGTTTCCCCCCCCCACCCTCCACAGTTCCGTAAGAAAAAGCTCCGTTTCGGACGCAGCCGGATCCACGAGTGGGGGCTGTTCGCCATGGAGCCCATCGCCGCCGACGAGATGGTCATCGAGTACGTGGGCCAGAACATCAGACAGGTACGGCCTGGGCGTGGAGCGTTTAGCGTTTTCCGGGGCAGACTCGGGCGCGTGGGGGTCTGGGAGGGCTTCAGCGTTGTGCCCCTCTGTGTGTGCAGATGGTGGCCGACCACCGGGAGAAGCGCTACACGCAGCAGGGCATCGGCAGCAGCTACCTGTTCCGGGTCGACCACGACACCATCATCGACGCCACCAAGTGCGGAAACCTGGCCCGCTTCATCAACCACTGCTGCACTGTGAGTCTGAGCCCCCCCCGACCACCTCAGCCGAGGCTCCAAAAAAGCATCTTTTCTGACTTTTATTCCCCCTTTCTTTTGTTTTTTCTCCCTTTAGCCAAACTGCTACGCCAAGGTTATCACCATAGAGTCCCAGAAGAAGATCGTGATCTACTCGAAGCAGGCCATCGCCGTCAACGAGGAGATCACCTACGACTACAAATTCCCCCTGGAGGAGAACAAGATCCCCTGTCTGTGCGGCACCGAGAACTGCAGAGGAACGCTCAACTAGCCCCAGCACTTCCCTCCCTCCTTTTACAAACCAGCCAGACCAGGAAAGCCCCCACCGTTCGATATCGCAGGGAGAGGATCGCAACAAAGCTGCCCCCCCCCCCCCACCCTCCCTTTGACGACAAACCCTGGACACTTCATTGGGTCCTCACAATGCGTAGGAAAACAGTGACGCACACTCTTGCACTTTTCACGCTCTCTTTCCATCACTGGGCAGTTTCAAATGCCAGCGCCATTGTTTTTTTTTGTTGTTTTCTTTTTTCTTTTTACTGCCTGGCATGAGAACACTGGACACTCCCCTCATTATTGCCCCCCTCCCTCTTCCTCTCGAGGCAGCATTGATGGATGAACGGGCAATCTGATCCCGCCTTGTTGGTCTCTGAAACCATCGGGCATGAACGGGTCTCCTGTTCCGGCCCCTTTGATGGGTGCAGGCGGTCACACACAGATGTTGTCTGTGCCAGATCACGTAGCCCGGGGATTGTTTCTCCAGCCCCCCCCCCCCCTCCTCCGAGGACCTCCGCACACCAGACAAATTCAGGGTTTTTAAAAGCGCCTGAGAAGGGCGCACTTTTAAGAAGGCAAATTTCAGCCAATTTGGTCTTAAGTTTAGCAGGATTCCCAGGTTAAAGGCTGTTCGGGAGCCTTTTTAAGTTCGTTTTGTTGTGTTATCAGATCAGCCCTCTTCCTGTCGTTGCTGGTATTCTGGCTCTGTTGAGTTAAATATCTCCCCCCCCCCCGCCCCCGCGTGGCTGCGGCCCTCTTTTAGCCGGTTGTGTGTTGGCTGTTGTCTGCAGGAGCAGCCCAGCGCCTCATCCTTCTTCTGTCCTTTTCTTTTTTCCTCCGGCAACTATCCGGGCAGCGATGTCGGTCCTTTTGGCTCATCTGCTCTTTGCACCCGCCTTAAGCATCTTGGGTTTCTAAGGAGGAACATTTCAGCGGGCGGCAGCAGGAGTTTTGGAGGGAACCCCCTAAATCCTCCACGAGACGGCTTCTCCCCACAGCAGCTGTTTTCTGACCTCCGGTAGAGTCTCAGTTTGACCGTTTCTGAGGCTACGAATCCTCGTTTCTGCCAAGGATGAGTAGCCCTTCACCTGCCCCCTCAAGGAGGTATTTTAGATGTGCAGACATCTGTATATCAACCGTTTAGGCTAACACAGGAGGTGTGGAGACACTCAGCCCTTTGGCTGTGTGTCAGCAAGCAACACGTTTTTATGTCCAAAGTGAGAATGAAACTCCCAAAACTCCTGCAGGTCCGTGTGAAACCGTGTGATCAGTGTTAAACTTATTCTGTGTGCTACAGATGTGTCCCCCCCACCCCACCCCCTTAAAGGTACATTTTCTTTGTTAGGTCAGGTATCTTTAAAAGTTTGGTTTTGTAAAGTCCCCTCCTGTTTGTTTTTCTGGCTTTCGCAGATTGCGTTAATATTAATTCATCTGAGTGCGTAGCTGTTGTGTCCCATTTGCCACGTCCCTCCCTGAGGATCCCCCCC